TAATATAATAAGATAACTAAAGGCTTCTGGTGTTCTTCAAAGACACTGTATTCTGAAGCACATGACAATGGAAATCATAGCTGCCAAATACTTGGGAAATGGAAAATTCTTGTTCATGCACAATCAGATTCACAGGACCTGGGCTTGAACTCATTATGGATCGAAGAAAAGCAAAATAACACATGCTCCAACGAATACAGGAACAATGATAAACCATGAGCACAGTGAATTGCAGAGCAGCCTTAAAGTGTCCAATGGCCCACCTAGATGCTATTTCCCATGTTTCGATATAGCTATCGGGGAAAATCATGAGTAATACCTAAAGTACTGGCAGCAAATGCATCTGAAAAGATTCCACAGCCAGGCTACTCAAAAATATCCTACTAAAAGCAATTGTCTCAAGTGCATGTGCTACAAAGTTTTTCTTCATAACCTGTTAGACATTTATTGCTGTAGCTTCAAGGCACTAATATAGTTGTTTTAAAACCCACTGAATCCTTCCAGGCGTTGCTATTCTGCAGGTTAAATACCAGCTAGACCTTACATCTCAGATTGTACAACATTTCATAATGAAGTCGTGTGCATTACTCTCCTCACCTGTTAATAGTAGTAACTCTTGGGAAAGGCAAAACTAAACATAGCTAATTGCAGGAAAAAAAACTAGACACTAACAAAGACTATGAGACCATAACTAACCATGAAACATCATCAGAAATACTTCAAATAATCCAGGTCAATTCCTCTCTCATCTCTTAATTTCTCCATAATTTTACAAAACCAAAATGTTCATCTCTAACCATCAGGCCTGTTCTGGTTTCTATCTCTGGTAGTTTTGAGTAATTTCTATTCATCAAAGTTTAACATTGGAAATCTTTCTTACTCAACTGAGCATTTGTGTATCATTGTAAGCTCTTTTTAAATTTCCTGAAACTTTCAGGCTGTATTTCCAGAAAAAATGGCATTGTTACAAGAAGGGAATGAACTTAAGTTGGAGGACAGGTCAATCCATGAGAACCTGTCAAGACACTACAGTGATCTTGATTGAATATGAAAATATCGAATAAGTTGGGGAAGTGAGTAGGTGCATCTTGAAGAACAGGGCTAGTCCTAGATGATTCTTGTCATGTTTTCTTCTCCAATCTACTTGAAGGGATTCATTCATCTAGAATATAACTGAACTAAGGCCTTTTTGAAGATGCCACGTTAGGCTGAGAAAAACAAATAAATGTATACGTTCTGAGTAAGTCAGCTCCCCACACTACTTCATCTGCACTTTCAGCACAGCTACACACAAAGCAAAGGATTTAGACAATATGTTTATGGAGGTTGCACCAAACAAGTTGTTATAATCACATGAAGAGGAACAAGTGAAAGCGTGGGTGGTGTAGTGTGTCACTGGACAGTACTCCAGAAACTCAGGGTAATGCCTGGGAACAGGTTCAAATCCCACGAGGACAGATGGTGAAATTCGAATTAATTAAAAACTTGGAGTAAAAAGCTAGCCACCAGCAACCATGTAGCCATTTTTGTTAAAAACCCATCTGGTTGACTAATTTCTTTTCAGGAAGAAAATCTGCTGTCCTTACCTGGTCTGGCTGATACCTGAATCCACAGCCACAGAATGTCCTTGACTCTTCACTGCTGTCTGGGTAATTAAGGATGGGCAATAAATGATGGTCTAGCCAGTGACACCAACATCCCATGAACAAATTTTAAAAATAGGGGAAATTAAAATTTTCTACCAACATAGCAACCACAGAAATGGAGAGGAGATCGGGGAAAGCTTTTCCTCAGATCGTCCCTCTTACCAAGAGGTTCTGCTGTGCAATTTGAAGGGTTGTGATATGATAAGCTCCTTCAAAGATTGAAGAAAGAAGTCAACTTTCCTGAACCACCTGATACAAGAGGAAAGGACTGAGCAAGATAACAACGTCCTCCAATATGGAGACAGTACAATTATGAGGATTAAAACCTCAGGAAGGTATGACACAGGAGTGGTGTAACATTTCCAGGTGCCAAGCTCTCAACACTGACTTTCCCAGCCTTCTCCTACACAGCAAACCTCAGAGCAACATACTTTGTATCGCCTCTCATTCCTCTCTACCAGCACCAGATCCCCATCTGAACAGCCAACACCCACCCAAACCATCAGCCTTCTCACACCCATGCTGCACAGCCATCCTACAAACTTTATCCTTCCTGGTTTACCACACAAGCCATTCCAAGTACACAGAACTCCAACTGTCTTTCTTTGCAAAAGACAACTACCCAAGCCTCAGGTGCGGCACAGACCCAGCAGTTATTCTCCAGTGACAGACACTTTCAGGGCAATCAGCAATATCTGCCAGCCTCGTTCACTGGGAAGGTGAACTTCTTATAGGAAGCTGTAGATGTCAGGAACAACCCATTGTAAAGATCTGAGACTGTAGTGCTTGCAAATGTTGAGAAAGATGATCCTCTGCCTGTAGCCCTTGTGTTAGAGCCTAAGCCTCCTTCCAACTTGATCTGCATGTCTATCCTTTCTGCCATGTGGAGTGGTATTCAGATGAAGAGAAGGGCACCAGTATTGCTGCTGGAATTGTTACTCCTCCTCTTGTTCTCCATCTTAGGTGCAAGGTTGAGCCGTATGATTTGTGTCCATTCTGTGGTGAAACCACACAGCAGGGAAGTGCAGCTGCAAATGAGTGAATGTGACGTTCAAGAAGTTGGGAATAATGTGGAAAGCCTTCCTGCTTGTCAAATTCACTGAAGAAGCTCTTCCTGTTATGCATTCACATTAGTAATAGATCAGGAAACGGGTGACTTGCTTTTAAAACCAAAATTGTGGCTTGAAACAGTACTTAATTATCTAACATCAAATTTAAATCTCTTGTTTGATAGCTGCCTCGGGTTCCTCACCTGTCTTCATGTCAACCTAGGCGGAACCCGGAAGAAAGGGGGATGACATTAGGATCCACATTGCACACAATGTTGTGAATTAAATCCCTGCTTGAACCCATACTTGTCTTGCCTTACCCAAGATTCACACCCTCCAGTCCATGATATTAAGGTAGTAACATCATTTAGTTTCACACTGGGCATAACTTCACTAATTGGAATATACAAAATTTCTGAACACAGACCACCATCTGTGTTGCTCATAGGTATATGAATATACCAATTATGAATATTAACTCCACTTATTTGTTTATTGCATTCGTATGTGAAGGGTGTGGGACAAAAAGATAGAAAGGAAGTGATTAAAAATGATTCTCAGTCCATCAACATGTCATAAACAGTTAAATCTGATCAAGGAAACGTGACAAACTTAATCATTGAAACCTACTGACAGATAAGGCACAAATCTACAGTAGTGGTAAATATCTGTGCTTAAAATTCTAGCTGGTTTATACATGTTTAATTACAAGAAAATCCTCCTAAAGAGTCGTATTGGATTCAATGTTACCTCTGTTATTCTCTTCACAGATGTTGCCAGACTTGCCGAGATTCTCCAGTGCTTTCTGCTTTTAATTTTAAATCTTCCTGATTTCCTTTGTCTAGTTTGAACTTCAATAGAAACAGGAGAACTTTCACTCCACCCTGTTGCTCTTTCTCACTTTTTCCTACTGACTGTATAATAGCCATGAACGAACCATGAAGGCTCTAGGGAGCAGATTATTACCCAACTTCTTTGTTTCATGGAAAAAGATGCTGTTCCAAATGTAATGTTATTTGCATGGTGTGGGAATATTGATTCTTTTGTTATTTTTGTGTCCTTGGTAAACATTCGTGAATCAAGTAGAATTATGTTTGCTATCTTTAGTTGTGTTTAGTTTCTTGCTTCACAAATTATAGAGTGATCGTTGTCCAGTTATTGAGAAGCTAAATAAAAGGCAGTGTTCATATGATTTCCAGTAAGCAACCTACAGTAAGCAGGTTCTCTGTTCAAGCTGTGGCATTGATGCAATGCCAAATATTGTTCATATAAGGTCACATTTTAGTTTGTAGAGATGTTACAGTAGCCTTCAGTACTGACTAGAGGAGATGCATCTGGAAGAGGGCCTAAAAATATAACAATACATAAATATATAATAACGTTTAGAATGACTTTTCTCAGTATGGCTTGGCTGTTTGCCGTGGTTTCAGAAACTTGGCTACAAGTTTCTTGGGCAGTGGTCTGGTGTATTTCTACAGCAATTTCCTTTTGGTTAGCGTGGCCTTCAGTGTGAGTTCATCTTTTCCATGGTTATCTTTTTGCACAGTTGTGCAGCATGCAGCAGATGGTAATGATCTGGGAGTTTCGGGAAAGATTGCTCCCAAGGATGTTCCTTGATCTGCCAACACATCTGAAGCACTCCGTCCAAATTTCATTGTGTGATCTATGTGAATCAGACAGCTGATGAACATCTTTATAGGTAGGAAGGTTTTGACCATGATTCCTCATCTGTGCCTAAAGAGTAGATCTCAATTAGGACAACAGCAAGAGTGGCCTCCATATCACTGGACCTGTGAAGGGAAAAGCTCGTCTTGGGAGTGAAACTGCTTTCCTATTGCAAAGAAATATAGGAGAATGCTATTTTTCTCCACAATTAAGAAGTTACTGACAAAATTGGAAGTTACATACTCTTGCAATGCTATTATAGTGTCACCAATTAAAAGGAAGAGACAGATATTCACCCAAATGTCATTAGAAAAGAAGTTTGAAATGCTGATCATGATTATGCCATACTGTTGAGTGTGTATTTATTGCTTGACAGCCGAATGAAGTATACTGATGGCCACCATAGCTCACTGTTCAGACTCACATATAAACATTACAAAATGCAACAAGAGTTGACACCTCAGAAAAAAGGGGAAGGTCCTGGAAACAATAAAATTAGACAGCTTGATTGAGTTGTCAAACTACTTAGGCTGTTAATGTGATCAAACCAACAAATGACAGACTGTACAAAGATCATCATAACTATACTGGTCCCCCATGCATTGACAGATGCTGTGCATGAGAAATAATTTTCTTGTACCTTGACTCTCATATCCACATCTGTTAGCACCATGAAGAACTCATTTTCTGTTATCCCATATTCTTTGCGAAGTTCAGTGATGAGGCTTTGATCCAAGTCACCGTGTTTTATATCTTTCACTGGCTTCTCATTGTCTTAAGATAATGAAACATATAACTAGTTAATATCTTTCCAAATAAGAAAACTGTTAAAGTTATATTCCTACATAAATGAGATCATTTATACTTTTTCAAAACAAGATACCCGACATGAACAAACAAGCATGGATAAGCATGGCTCAAAGGATGGATAAGCATGGCTCCACTTTCATTCCTATCACAATATTTCACATAGAGTTGTAAAATTCTTACAGTGTGGAAACAAGTCCTTCGGCCCATCACATCCACACTGACCCTCAGAGCATCCCAACCAGACCCATCCCCCTACCCTCTCCTTGTAACCCACCTAATCTACACATCCCTGAACACTATGGGTAATTTAGCAAGGCCATTCCACCTAGACCGCATATCTTTGGACTGTGGGAGGAAACCGGACCACCCGGCAGAAACCCATCCAGACATGGGGAGAATGTGCAAACTCCACACAGACAGTCACCCGAAGATGGATTCAAACCTGGGTGCCTGGCGCTGTGAGGCAGCAGTGCTAACGACTGAACCACCGTGCCGCCCATGCATCCTCAGATTTATTAATAGGGGCATAGAACTCAAGAGCAAGGAGGTGATGTTGACCTTGTACAAGACACTTGTTAGCCCTCAGCTGCAGTACGGGGCACAAAACTGGCTGCCACATTGTAGGAAGGATGTGACTGCACTGGAGAGAGTTTAAAAGAATGTTTCCAGGAAAGTGGAATTTCAGTTGTGAGGATAAACTGAATATGTTGGGACTGTTACCCTTGGACATGTATTGGAAGAATACCATTTACACTGTGTTAATAGCCAGATTAAATAAAACACATCAAATTATGTCCATCATATCAGGAATAATGATAATCCAAGCCCTCTTTCTTTCTGTTGTATTAAATGGAATCGCAAAATGTGGCTAGACACCACTTTAGCAATGATTGTGTCTAGCAGAATTCCACAGTGATCATCTGAAAACCTATTTTAGATTGTATTGTGCAATGAAGTCTATTTAGACATGTGCTAAAAGCATCCAGGCATGAATCACACAGATCATTGAAGTGGCAGGACAGAGAAAGGGCAGTAAGTAAAGCATCCTCAGGTTTATTAATAAGGGCATAGAATTCAAGAGCAAGGAGGTGATGTTGAACTTGTACAAGACACTTGTTAGCCCTCAGCTGGAGTACGGGACACAAAACTGGCTGCCACACTATAGGAAGGATGTGACTGCACTGGAGAGAGTTTAAAAGAATATTTTCTAGAAACGTGGAATTTCAGTTGTGAGGATAAACTGAAGAAGTTGGGACTGTTATCCTTGGACTGAAGAAGGCTGAGAGGAGATCTGATAGAGGTTTTCAAAATCATGAACCGGACAGAATACATTGAAACTGTTCCCACTCATAAAGGAATAAGAATGAGAGAACAAAGATTTAAAGTAATCAGGAAAGAGGCAAAGATGAAGTGAGAAAAAAACTTTTTCATTCAGCGAGTAGCTAGAATATGGAATGCACAGCCTGGAAATGTGGTGGAGGCAAGTTCAATTGAGGCATTCAAGACACACTGATGGTTGTTTGACTAAAAATACTGTGCAAGGGTATGAAGAAATAGCAGTAGATTGTCACTAGGTAATGACTCATTTGAAGAGCTGGTGTAGGTATGATAGACTGAATAGCCTCCTTCTGTGCCACAGCACTTCTGTAATTCTGTGAATAGTTTTGACCCCATCAGTTTGGACTAATCTGAGACCAGCTTCCAGAGCAGTGGTTCACTGCAATGCCAGGTTCCCCTGGGATTTTCATGGAACACAAATGTGTAATTCTGATGTTGCACTGTACCTCTGAATGCAATACCAACTTCACTCGTGAAGTTTAATGTGGAGCAGTTATACTGGATTCTTGCATCACTTTGCTCTGTCAGTGCAAACTCAAAAGACACTGTACCTTTTTACTTACAGTTTCTACCAACAAGAATAATTGATGAGGCAATTTTTTAAACAGGTTTAAAATATTAGCAGCATCACATGAGGTTAACTGGACTTTACAAATCACACAGTACCACAGAGCTTAAGTATTGCTAAAGAAAGAAACATGCTGTTGGAGTGTTTCATCTTGCACCCTGAATACAGTCATAGAATCCCTACAGTGTGGAAACAGGTTATTTGGCCCAACAAAACCACACCAACTCTCCGAAAAGCATCCCACCCAGACTCACCAACCTCCTCCCACCCTATCCTTGTGTTTCCCATGGTTAATCCACCTATCCTACACATCCCTGGACACTATGGGCAATTTGGCATGGCCAATCCATCTAACCTGGAAACTGGCGCACCCAAAGGAAACCCACGCAGATATGCGGAGAATGTGTAAACTCCACCCAGACAGGTGCCTGAGGCTGGAATTGCACCTGGGTCCTTGGTGCTATGAGGCCACAATGCTAACCACTGAGCCACTGTGCTGCAAGAAAACTAAATTTCAAAAGGAAGACGGCTTATACTGAATTGTTGTGAAGTTGGGTAGAGTTCTTGTGAATTGGAAGGCACGATGTTAGAATTTGATATTTGCAAAATGATAGGGGGAAGAGCGTGTGTTCGCTTTAAAAGATGGCGTTTTTTTCCTCGGCTTGGAAATTAAAAAAATATGTGCAGGTGCACAGAGGGGTCCTGAAAATAAAACATTGTCTCAAAAGGCTATGTGGTTAGCAACCCAGGCAGAGTCTGTTTTGCTATTAAGACAACCAGTTTGAAAATCAGCCAATTAATTTAAACCAGGTACTCAGAGGCTAAAAACCAATTAATTTTACATCTGATGGTTTTGACAACCTAGGATCAATCGTATTGTGAGAAATTGATAGGTCATCAAGGATATAAAAGAAGAAGGCATTTGAAAATCAGTGTGAGAGCAACTGCCATCTGTTAGAGTTAATAACAAACAGCCCTAAAGAGAAAATCACAGGCTCTCACCGAGTAACCATCATCTAACTGAAGGTACAACGGCACTCTTAGCTAAGAGTGCTACCTGACGCAAGAATTCGATGGCGAAAGGTCTTTGTGACTGAGGATCAGTGGAGAGGGTGAAGAACATTCCGGAAGATGTATTCCGGCTGTAATTTTGAGAGATTAAGTTTTAATGTTCTTTATTAATTTATTTTATATAAGTGGGACTTATATTTATTGGAACTGTGTACCATTAGAATTTTGTTTTATTTGGGTATCATTAGTAATTGAGGGGGAATTTTTCAGTTTTTAGTAGTTCTGTTAATTTGTTCACTGTTAGAGTTAGATAAATAAATTGTTACTTGTTGATTATAGAGTGACTGTCAGGAGTTTGTTTCATTTAACCTCCCATGTACAACCGATTGGGAGGTAAGAGGCAGGTTCTACCACTTTTCATAATTCCTTTAACAGATTATGAGGCAAGGTGAGCTTCTCTGTGCGTTTTGGTTTTAGTTATCGGGGTGGGGATGAGGGGAGTCGACCTCCGCTTCATAACAGTATGAGAAAAAGCTGCTGACTTGTCAAGATTTTTAAAAATTTTTAAAAATATTTTTGTGTTGTGGAATTAAGCAGGATGAAACATCTACCAAGCACATTCCACATCTTTATATCTATACTTAACAGAATTGTAACTCTAATTTACACCCAAAACAAGTCAAACTTGGCATCAAACTTGAAAAATGACTAATGCATGTATACTACATTGTTGCTTTTGGAGCAGTGATCAGAATGTTCCACAGGTTATTTTCTTCATTGCTTTTGTCTGCCCTCTGTTTTGATCTACTTTCTTGCCTTTCATTCACAGTTCTGATAATAACATAGTTTGTCTAAAGTGAGCCTAGTTTTTCTTCTTTTCACCCAGAAAAATTCCAGTTTCCTTCCTACTTGTAATTAAGCTGCTCTGCCTTCTCAGAGGCCCATTCAAGTAGGTGTAGCAAGTATAAGATGTAGTATGACAACTGGACTCATCATAGTGCGCCAGAAACCAATATCCTGAAACACACTGCAAACTTTTGCCAGGCTAAGTGATGACCCGTATTCACTTCCTCAGGAAAGAAAATTGTCTATCTATGTAGTTGTGTGAAACAAGGTTCACATCACAAGCTCTCTTGTTTTTGTCAGAATGTGGAGCTTCACTCCACCTCACAGACTGGTATAAGAAAATATTCTGCCTCCAAATATGGACTGCTGCTCTAATGTTTGGAGAAACCTGCAGCAACTATTAGACAGGCAAACACTGGACATCACTCACAAAAACAACACAAGTGCCCCTGGTAAAATAATGAACATGCTAAAAATCTCAGCTGTGAATCAGTTACGTAAGAAAATAGTAGACATGCTTTTACATAGAGAGGAAAAAGAAAGGATAAAATACTGACCCAGCTGGTAATGATCAATTTTAATCGTGCTGTTATTCAAAGGTCCAAAAATGGTGATAATTGAGATTTTTCTTAACGCCATTTCACAGACGTGCTCTAAATACTCATCTCGCTGCTGTTCATACATGTTGTTTCTGTCATTTGGAGAGGTAATAAGCTATAAGTAAGAAGGAAAAGTTCAAATTGGAAAAGTAAAATAGTCAGAAGTTTCAATGTTTAGAAACACTAATATTTTAAACACTAGTAATGTTCTTATGTATGTTACACCCCTGAAAATGTCAAGCAACATTGCTTTGCAGGTGTAAAAAATCTCGAATCATATGTATAGCAATAACAGACTAGCTTGTGTTCTGCATCACAATAATACGTGCATGTATTGAACTTTTACTAAACTCAGTGACAGCAGTCACTGAGAATTTCCAAGGGTTGGTTTTTAAATCCTTCCCCTGCCAGGCAGGCTGTGAGCACAGGGAGGAGCGAGATGTAAATTATGATGGGTGCCCAGCACACCATTTTTCCTGCTAACCCCTGATTTGTCCCTTTAATAACATAGATGGGCAGGTAGCAAAATCAGCACTCCTTTAAATTATTAAAGTTTAATTGAGCTTTTTACAAAGCCAACTGACTGAGATACTAGACTGTGCAAGCCATAATATTGTTGATATGGCCAGTGGGCAGTATTAATTTTGAAGCCAGGTTGATTAAAGGGCAGCGAGGGCTCATTTGAGGGCTATTCTGGCCATTAAGGTGTACTAGGGCATTGGGGTCACCCACCTCATTGCCTGCCATCCAACATCCATTCCCCCCAAACTCTTCCTTGTGATCTTAGATCCTTCCCTCCCCTAAAGCCCAACACTTACCGGATTCTTCTTTGTCCTCCTACCTCCCAGTGGTACATGTTAGTGTGATCCAAGGGTCAAAGGCCCTACTCTCGCCTAGCCTAGCCTGGCCAGCATGTTATGGCTGGGAGCAGGTGCTTCAATGCCAGCTAGCCTTCCTTCCAGGGTGGCCAACAATCTGCAGCACAAAATGTAGTTCAAAGTCTGCAAAGAGGTATTCTGCCACTTTTGCAGTGTTTTTTGGTGAATATGTTACCATCGTTCAGCAACCATCAAGCACATTAACATCCTGAAGCACTTGTCAATAGTCCAATTTTATGTCATAATGAGTCTACAATAGTTGCCATCTAAAACTCTAAAGAACAGGTGCTTTGAAGAGGATAAAGACAAACATTTGCCAAATTAGTGACACATATCACTGAAGCCAACACATCTGAATGATTTAAATATGATCATTGTCTGAAATTACTAAATGTGTTGAAGTTTACAAATAAAACGTAACCTGTATCCAATATTTACACTAGTTTCTTTGAAATCTGTCAATTTAAAGAAAACTTCACATTATAGTTAAATAAATAGCATTTAAAACAATTGGATGTTATGTTTTGAACTATAAATCAATAGCCTTGCTGAAACCATACACTGTTGCAATCACAGTTTCATTCGTGATATGATGGTGCCAGAATGTCAGTGAAGTTAACAGCAAAGTATAATAATAGAACTAGTAGAAACATCAATTTTAATAACAAAAAGTTGTTGCATGTAGTAGTGAAAGCCAGAATCACAAGGCAATTTGAAACAAGCTATTGTGAAAAATATATTGCTAGATATGGGAACAAAGAAGCTGAAACTTACAATGCATGGGTTGTTGTCAAGAAAAGCATTAGGACTGATGTATTTGGAAGTAACAACAGCCTAAATGAGTATTCAGCAGCAAATTGATGTGATACTGGTAACACAGCTTGCTTCAGATAGAATGCTAAGATTGTAGTAATTCAATGTTGCCTGAACCAGTGGCCAGGGAGGGTGTTGCAATTGGTGAATGTGGAGTTGTGGCAGTCTCCAAAGATGATAACTTCAGTCTTCCACGTGTCTAATTAAAGTAACTGTGCCTCATCCAAGACTGGTTATTGCATAGAGATTCAGTAGATTAGGTCTGTACTCAATGGAATACAGAAGAATTAGAGGTGACTTTATTAAAACACTCAAGGTTCATAGAGGGCATGATAGGGTAGATGTGGAAAGATTGTTGCCCCTTGTGGGAGAGTCTAGGACCAGAGGGCATATTCTCAGAATAAGGAGTTATACATTTAAGACAGGGATGAGGATAAATTTCTCCTCTCAGTGGGTTGTGAATCTGTGGAGTTCTTTGTCACAGAGGGCCATTGAGGGTGCATCATTAAGTATTTTCAAGGCTGAGATTGATTTTTAATCAGTAAGGGAATGAAGGTCTATGGAAGAAAGGCAGGAAACTGGAGACGGAGATTATCAGTCATGATCTCATTGAATGACACAGCAGACTCAAGGAGCTGAATGGCCTACTTCTGTTCCTATGGGTTATGGTCTTAAGTAGTCCAACAACTTACAAGCAGTGGTGGGGACTGAACCAAGTGGTGGAGAAGTGAAGCTGGATGTCATTGACACATATGTGGATGCTGACCCCTATGGCTACAAATGCTGTTACTAAATGACAGCATGCATATAAGGTAAAGAAGATGGCTACAGATTGAGTTCGGGGGAACTTTAAAGCAATTGCTGTGATTCAGCCAGAGCTGATGATCAGTGGTTAAACTGGTTGTACAGTTAACACATTTAAGATGGTTCTGCTGAAAGGCCAGCAACCTGAAACACTAACTGTGTTTCTCTCTCCACAGATGCTGCCAGGCCTATTGAGCTTTTCCAGCATTTTTGGTTTTCATTTCAAGTTTGCTTTTGTACATAATTTCAGCTAGCAATGACGCAGGGTCATACCAGGAAAAGAGCAGAATTCACAACAATTAAATGTTTTGTCAGAGCTAAGAGCAATAAAGATAGAAATGTGATAACCTGAAAGCAAAACTCAGAGAATTGGAAGTTTGAATATGCAGCAGTAAACAACTTAGAAAAGAGACTTTTCTTTTTCCTGGACAGGAGCAGAAGGAGGTGAGGCTGGACGATGTCGTGGAAGTGAATCATAAAGGATATAAGAAAACGGTCAGATGTATTATACTCAGTGATTAAAATCATGGGAGGGGAAAGACAAGGGACAATGCAAAATCATGAGTATGATCAAGGCAAAACACCCTCACTAAACAATACAAAAACAATGTAGCTGTGTACAATATTTAGAAACTTGAGTCAGGTCCTGCCAGTTCATTGGTCAAATGCAGTTATTGATAGATGATTGTGAGTGGATGCAGGTTGTTGGAAATGTTTCTGTTAACTGATAAATTGAGAAACCAGTTTCAACTCAATTAGAATCTAAACCAATGATCTGTCCTTGTTTTCACGTCATTGGTTTGGATTCTAATTACCTGAGACTTTTTTATAAGGAAGTGTGGGATTAGGGTATTGAGGTTGATGATTCAACCATGATCATATTGAATAGCGGAGCAGGCTCGAGGGGTTGAATGGGCTACTCCTGTTTCTGTCTTCTATGTTTTTGACCAATATTATGGAGCTACAGAACTGTTATATGCATAATACACAGCCTAAATAATGGCTATTGGTAAAATAAGTATTTCCACACATAAAGTGTAGCATTGAATTTTCTAAACTTTGGTTTAGCTTAATTCATGAAGATATTTATACTGTATAACTAATGTTTACTCTAATTACTAACTAAAAATAACAGTACAATCTAATGGTGAACTGTCTTAAAGTCCACTCTCTTCATATGAAGCCTTCTAAAATCCCAAATGTAGCTTTTCTATTAACTTTCAAATCATGAGAACTAGTTTAATACTAGTTATAGAATAATTGTTGAAGTATCCAATATCTTTAATGACTAGATCTGTTCTTGGCAATGCAGCAAACAGTCCTCAGCTTCCACTTCTTATAGACTTAATATCCTTAAACTGACCTGTATCATATTTTACTAAATAATAGTGACGCCGTATACCACAACATGTTTTTTTCTCAGAAATGTATGCAGCACATTGCAGAGAACATTTGAAAAAAATATGGGATGGCACAGAGTACAGGCCTGTTTGAAAGATGGTAAATCAGAGCCATGCCATTAATTAATTTCGTTGTGTTTTCTATTTTGCCAAGTTTTGCATTCATCAGAATAAGAGATACCATTGCTGGGAACGAACAGCTACGGGGTACCACTTACTGCTGTGCTCTTAGAAGATGGAAGGGTACCACAAAAAAGTATCCCATGGTCAGCCATAGGACAGTTAAATGTAGAGGACAACTGCCTCTACTCCATCACATTATTATGCCTCGTAACTATGTTCAGTGATAGGTCAATATGAGAGTTTCCCACTTTACGTAATATCCATTATGGGGCCTTTCTAAATGAGGTTGCAAGTTTGTCATCAGTTAATGGTTAACAGCTACTAGGAATTACACTGAGACAGTCTACACTTATTTCACACAAAAAAAATTCAGAAGCAATGGAGGGTAGACAATCATCACACTAATCCCAGAAGATCTTGTCCAACTGTCTCAATCTCAAGTATTTCACAGATGCCGGTTTTATAGAACACAGAATTGTTAAGGCGCAGAGGCCATTTGGCCTATTGTGCCTGCACTGGTTCTTCAGTTACCCTGTGCCAATCTCCTGCTATTTCTCCATACCCTTATACACTATTTCCATCCAAATACTCATCCAGTACCTTCTCGAATGTCTCATTTGAGCCTGACTCGCCACATTTCCAGGCAGTGCATTCCCTACTTTAACTACTCGCTTTGTGAATAAGTTTTTTTTCTCACATCGTCCTTGTTTCTTTTGTACATCATTTTAAATCTATACCCTCTCACTCTTGTTCCTTTTACAAGCAGAACAGATTCTCTATCCACTCTCGCCAGCCCACTGATGATTTTGAAAATCTCTATCGAATCTCCTCTCAGTCTTCTTCTCTCCAAGAAGAACAGTTCCAACTTCTTCAATTTATCCTCCTAACTGAAGTTTCTCATTCCTGGAACCAGTCCTGTAAATCACTGCTGCACTCAGTGCATTACATTCGCATATTTATACAACATGGTGCCCAGACTATATGGAATACTCCAGCTGAGGTCTAACATAGCCATTTCACAGCAAAGGCCTGGGAACAGATGTCCTTCCTTTACTGTTGCTGTTGGGTTAGGAAGATGATTAAATTATTCACAGATAAATTGCTTTAATCTTTCTTTTCTTCTCTCTAGTCTGGAAGATGTAGATTTATGGCAACGTCCACAAGCATTTCAGGTACCTCTCCCATCTGCCCATTCTTTATAAACTTGGACAGTGAGTGTTTACAGACCAAAGGGAGCATCATGGTTGAACTAAATCTTGTGTTTTCTGATATCCAAATATTTGTAATTTGGATTACAGATGAGGCTTCTTATAGTAGTCAAGAAAAGTGTGGGCTGTTTCATTTTTAATCCTAGCCTAAAGTGCCAAAGCCAGTTGTATCACCTCTAGATTATCCTGCCTAAGGCTAACAAATGAAAATCTGAGTACATTGCAAACCTTTGGTCTTCGGACTCAATACCAACATAGCGTTTTTTATTCATTCATGGGACGAGGACATTACTGGCTAGGCCAGCATTTATTGTCCATCCCAGGTGTCAGGTAAAAGTAAACCATATTGCTGTGTGTCTGGAGTCATGTAGTCCAGAGCAGGTAAGGATGGCAGTTTGCCTTCCCAAAGGACACTACTGAACCAGATGGATTTTTCGAACAACGGTTTCATGGTCACTAAACTCTTAATTCCAGATTTTTATTGAATTCAAACTCCATCATCTGCTGTGGGTTCTCAGAATATTAAAGTCCCTGGATTAAAAGATTAGTGATAATACCTTACTTTTTGCACATTAAATAATCAGTGGACTCATTACTGTAATTATAGCTGTGTCTGTTTAGAGATATTTCATTTTCTGTGCAAGACATCATCAGCACCCTGGAACTTCCATTATTATATACATGGGCACATATAATGGCTATAAAGCAGCAAGTAACACACCTCCTGACTCCCCAGAGCCTGTCCACTATTTTCAAAGCCCTGATCCGGAGTGTGATTGAATACTCTCCACTCCCCCGGAATGGTGCAGAGCGAACATCAAGAATTTTCAAACAATCAGGGGCAAATCAACCTGTTTTATTAGTACCTTTACCCAACATCTTAAACACTCACTTCATCCATCACCAATGCACAGTGACAACCAGTGTACCATCTACAAGATGCATTGTAGCAAAGAGTCAAGCATGCTTTGACAGCATCTTCCAAATTCATGACAACTACTACAGAAGGACCAGGGCAGCAGACACAACGAAGTTCTGACATGTGCTAGTTTGCTGTTTCTTCGCTGTCCCCAAGTCAAAATATGGAGCTCTTTTTCTCACAGCACTGTGGATGGACCAAGATCAAATGAAGTGCAGCAGTTCAAGAAGGCTCACATTCCCTAAATGAGATGTAAGGAAAGACACATTCCACCGACCTTTGTTGTCGTTCCCTTCAGTTCTGACAATAAGCCAATCTTTCCAGTCTTGGAGGGCCGAACGGCCCATTCCTGTGCTGTAATTTTCTTTTCTTACCCAAACTTGTAGTGTGAAGAATACAACGCATCAGTAATAGATACTGTAACAAGTGTAATGCTAAGTAAGCTATTTAGTTATACCTACAGTCTAAAACTTAAAATTGATCACTTTGTGGGCATTGCAGTTTTAAATCTTTCTAGGCTGTGCTTCTCAACGTACAACATAAAAATGAGCTAATTTGATGGAAAAGATATCATCTTTCACTAAAACCATATGCTTTGTTTGAGCATTTCGCAGGTATTGTCCTGAGAATTATAAAGTTAGAAAGCACTACTGGTGAAGTATTAAAAAAAGTATCTGTCTACCATTAGCAGTTCATAGGTTAACCAGTTGGAACAACATCTGATTCAGTCCTGTAACTATTAGCAGCTGTGCTGCACGCGATGTAACGCAAACAAACAACGCAAGGAATGCGTTCTGAAATGTAACCTTTCAAATTTGAGTGTGCTGGTGCATCTGCATTGATCTTTTTGACTTTGAATGACTTTGTGAATATAGCAGGCATTGATATATCCTTCTTTCAGTGAAGAACAATTTTAATATGCCTTCTCTTTTTACCCTATTATCATCAATTGATAAAATTAATTTGCATTCTGCAATGTATCCTATCAACTGACTGTTGTCAATTATCAAACTTTGATATTCTTGTCGTAAATTTCAAAATTACCATGTAACAAAAGATATACTGGTAATAATGACCCGTAGCTATGTCAACCTATTTTCGAACCCTATATTTTACTACTAATTGAACTATCAAATACAAATAGTTCTAAGGAAGTACACTTTCCAAAAGTGAGAAAAAGATCCCATAATGTGTTTTTTTAAACATTTTATGAGTTGCTGTTGTGTCGAAATAGATGAGAACTGCCCCTTTTGATGACATCATAGAATAGTCTAGCAGAGGCGAGGATGAACTTCATATGGCACCCAGTAATTAGGAAAATAAGCCAGACAAAATTTTGACAAGTCATTATCAGTAAAATATAGCGAAGTATTTTGAATAAAAAAATTCTATCAATTAGCTTTCTCTGTTTAATTGAATTATTGCCATGCTGCACCATTACAAACTAGTGACAATGATATAAGAGGGGTAACTAATGGGTTTTCTTTCAATTAACTATCTACAGGTACTTATTACCTAAATATTCTACGCACATATGAACATTCTATAAGTTCATGCAGCCTTACAATAAATATTACATTCAGGCACCAGTTTAGTTTCTAAGCCTGCCAGACACTGCTGGTGGGTGCTACTATGTGTCACTACTTTGAACAAATGCTATCGTGTTATTTGCAAGAAATGTCAATGTGATAAAAATGTAAAACCACTTTCTGTTGCCAGTAACAAGGCTAGTGCCTCTAAATAGTTTGCAGCACTTACTATTAGACGTCGTCTATTTTCAAAGTGGCTGAGAATGGATGCCAATGTCTTTGGCATTCCTGGAAACTTCTTAGGCAGTTTGAAGATCCCTTTCTTGTTTGCCTTCTTGGGATTTTTATGTTTGGCTTCCTTTAGAGGTTTAGTTTTCAGCACAGGTTTTATTTTTTTCTCTGCTTTGTCTTTTTTCACAGGCTTCTTCTTCTTTTCGTTCTTGACTGGCTTGCCATGCTTCTTCTGTTCCTTGCCTTTTTTCAGAGGTATACGTGACCCTTCAACCTCCTGCCCTGTGTCCGTAGATGAGGTTTTATCAGAATCATATTTATCCTCATACTCATTGATAAGGATTTTATTATTTGTATTTTTGGACTTTGGTGGCTTAGTTTTGGTAGGCTTGCGAAGGATTGGTGTCACCCGTGGCCCCTTCTTGTGATAATTCCCTGTTTTTTTGTCTGAACGGTTGTATTTGTGCCGAACTGTCTGTTCTTTTGCATAATCTGGACTGACTGTTGTAGTCTGAAAAGTTGGCGTTGGAGGATAGTATTGGAGAGTTTTTGAGGATTTTTTGGGATGAGATTTACTGACATCAATGCTGGTCGCAGTCCGATGTCTACCTCGATGTGTGCCACCTCGAGCTGCTGGGGAGTTAGTGCCAGTTGTCAATCTTGTTGGCGTTTCAACATTGACCGCCTGTTTGTGGAATTTTGGTAAAGACGGTGATAATATTACATAAGATCTTGTAAAGTGTGAGGTGCCACCTTGTCTATCAGAAGTAGTGGTAGATGGCACTGTTGTGCTGAAATCGGTGACAGTAGTTGTGGTGGGGGGTAAAGTAGTTGGTTTTATAGTGCGAGTGGTTGTTCTAGTTGGTGCTACAGTTGCCCTGACTAATTTAGAACCTCCATGTGTGTTCAGTGATATCCTAATAGGCTTCCTAATGATAACCTTCTTCCTTTTCTCCGACACCTTTTCTTCCAACGTCTCCTTTGGACTGGGTACCTCAACATTCTCATTCGTTGGCGTAGGCCTGAGCTTCTCTTCACTCCTCTTCTGGCCCTCAGTGGGTCCAATTACCTTCCCTTCCACACCCGCCTGTTTACATTTCTGCACAAACCCTTTCTGCCTCAACCTCTCGATTTTCCGAATTGGGCCCTGGTCGATCACTTCGTACATGGCCTCCAGTCTGACCGGGTAAGGGTAGGTCTCCTCCAGCTGGAGGTTCTTCCTCAGCAGGACCATGCTGAATTTGCCTCTCTCGAGTTTCAGGAAGTCCAGCAACTTGAGGACAGTCCTGGCGTCCAAGGGCTCCTCGAGGACGGTGCCCTGGTTAGTGATCTTCCTGACTTTGCCGCCCATCTCTCCGTCCTGGTGGAACAGCACCAGTTGGTAGATGTGCCTCTCGGCCAGCTCGCAGTAGACATCGTCCTTCAGGAGGCTGAGCATCAGGCGGTAGTAGCCGTCAGCAGCGTGGGGAGCTGAGATGATCCAGAGGCGCTGCTTCCCGGCCATTGCCGCCAGCAGGCTCGGGGTCCCGGCGGCGGGCACGCGCACCTGGCGGCTCCGCGCGGCTTGGGCAGGGGAGCGACGACTCGGCAGGCGGCTCCGGTACCGGCCTCGGGGAGAGCTGCTGTCGTCCCGCTGTGCCGTAGCCAGCGGGCGGGAGGATCTGCTCAATGTCCCGTTCGTCAGCCTGACCAACCTCACGCGTCTTCTGGCCCCGAGCCTTTGCATTCCCGACGGCGCCCTGCACTCACACAGCAACCACAGCAAACCCAGCAAGACCAGAGGTAAAAACCCGGGCCCCCTCATGTTCAAAACAAAAACTTCCGCTTGTCTCAACAAGAACACAAACACACACAAAAAACAAAAAAAAACAACTTGTTTCGCCTTTAAAGATCCACAAATGAACACAAGCCAAGAGTGGGAATAGAATCTTATCCAGACTTTGCTGCGGGATGTCCCAGGTGCTGAACAAACGGAATCCGAGCAGTTTTTTTTTCTCTACTGCCAGCAGCACAGTGTTGCAAGATCAAAGCAGGTCAGTGTTATCATCCTCTGATCGCTCTAGACCAAATCCTTCTCCTAATATCGCTCCTCTAAAGCTGCTACTCCAGCACAGGGCTTGCACATAAACTTCCAAAGGATTGGTCCGGCTCCCCCCCCCCCCCCCCCCCCCCCAACTCTTCAAACAAGATGCAACTTCAAGGAACGTGGGAGGTGAACCATTTCACCAGAGCTCAGCAGAAAGCAGCCCCCGGGGTTCTGATTATCTGGGTGCAGTTGGGCTCCATGTAGGAATCACTGTACTCTGCTGGGATCCAGCAGCGATCAGATCCTAGACTGACCCCTTTCATTTCTCTCCTTCCCGTCCTCTTCACTCCCACATCGCCATGATCAGTTAGTGCTCCGGGCGTTTCCGGAGGGCGAGAGTTTCAAAGAAAGCGAATTTTAGAGAGAAAGAGACAGAAAATAAAAACAGAAGAAAAACCTTTCGTTTTGTTCAGCGATTCCCGGGAGAGGTGGAAACGATGGATTGGGGAGGGACCGGGATGGTTCTCGGGAGGGAAGCAAAGTGGAATTCCTCCCTTTCTCAGGCTGCTCCGGGTGGGATCCAAGTGAGGACAGCCACCAGTCACAATGAACGCGATCACCCACTCAAAATACACAGGCTTCAGTGAATTAGCAGCTCTGCTCAACACTGCCGCCCTCCCCTTTCACACAGACAGCAGCTTCCAGCCTGCAAACACTGACCACACCGACACCAATGAACTATTGCTGGAATAACATTGTATCCCCGCAATGTGCAGCACCTGACACACCGTCCCAATACAGCAACATGTGCTGGCATTTCAGACTATCCCTTAGCATCTTAATGATATGAAAGAAAGAACCGCGAATGCTGGAAATCGGAAACAAAAACGGCTGGAGAAACTCAACAGGTCTGGCAGCATTTGCGGAGAGAAAGCAGCGTTAACCTTTCGGGTCCAGTGACTGTTTTTCAAAAGTGAGCTCGCTGGACAGGAAATGTTAATTCCACTTTCTCTCCACAGATGCTGCCAGACCTGCTGCAGTATCTCCAGTTATTTCTGTTTTTGTTGCTTAGCCTCTCAGTCTTTCTCCTTTCTATTCCTCACAATCGCTGTCGTCAGTTACTGAATTGGTATAGAGTCTAGAGCCATAGAGCTGAACAGCATGGAAACAGACCCTTTGGTCAACTCATCCATGCTGACCAGATATTCTAAATTAATCCAGTCCCATTTGCCAGCATTTGGCCCATATCCCTCCAAGTCATTCCCATTCATGTATCCATCCAGATGCCTTTTAAATGTTGTAATTGTACCATCATCCAACACTTACTTGGGCAACTTATTCCATGCACACACCATCCTTTGCATGAAAACATTACCCCACAGGTCCCTCTTAAATCTTTCCCCTCCCATCTTAAACCTATGCCCTCTAGTTTTGGACTCCCCTACCCCAGGGAAAAGACCTTGGCTATTCACCCTATTCATGCCCTCAAAACTCAGATTTCTTTTTGGACATCATTTCAGTCCCTCTGTCGACTTGCTCCATCAGTCCCTCTAACCCCGTTCAATCTATTCAGTATCTAACCAAAGGAATCCCACTTCATTTGGTGTGTTGATACAACGCACAGCCAGTCTTCATTCGAAGGGCTCCTATACACCTGTATTAAACTTGCTGCTGATATTTTCTAGCTAACCTTACTTTGCATTACCAACACAGATTCATGTTACCTCTCCAAATGTAAAAGGCAAATTTCCACAGCATTCATCTCTTGTCTGCTGTGAGCTGACCACAAGTTGATCCTGTTTAACTATATCAATCACTTGCAGAATCACCAACAGCCTTGTTTCAGTAATGACCTCTAAATAATCTCAGCAATGAAGTACTTTTGCTGGAGAGGACATTCATTCATGCACATTCAGGTTTTGTATGAAAAAAATAGAAGAAAATCAGTCTCCTTCTAACTTAACTATCTACTTACTTAACTACCCCCTCATCTACTAATACATTCACTAAAGCACACTCAAATTAGACTGAGGCAGATTATTTGAATATAACCACAATGAAAATGGTGGTGTACAAAATTGTTAAAGGAGTGAACCTATTAAAACAGTTTGAATACAGCAGCTGGTAAATTAAAAAGGAAATGCATCCTCTCCTTTTCCAATTCTACAGCGATCTTGGACTCACTCAGAAGAGAGTGCACTGCACATTTCTCTGGCGGCCAGCATTGGAAGAACCCAGAAAATAAAACAGGCAGTAGCACTTTGGAAAAATTTTTGTGGGCAGCAGAATTACCAAAGAGCGAAAGATTGAAGCTAAACTCTTTATTTTCACATGATGAAGTAGTGTAATATTCAAGGAAATATCCATGAATGTAGTTTATATAGACTTCCAGAATTCATTTGGTAAGGTTCCACATAAGGTCCTGGCAGTGTTACTAAGTTGTGTGGAGTATTCATGCATTGGAAGGCAGGAAGTTAGAATTTGTTGGTAGAATTGATAGTGGGGAAAAGCAGTGTGTGGTCCCTTTAAGAGATTGTGCTTTGTCTATTGCTTGGAAGTTTACAAGTACTGTACAGAGAGTACTTGGGGCCGAACAGAGAGCCCCAAAATTGAAACAAAGGCCTTACATTTGGCAGGCAAAACAGCAGTTTTGTTTTGGTATCGAGGCAACAAGTTTGAATTTAGCCAATTAATTTAAACCAAGCACCTAGACATAGAAAACCAATTGAATTTAAAACAGATAGTTTTGACAACCTGAAACAAATCACATTGTAAGAAATTGATGTGCCGTCGGGGGATATATAAGAAGAGGATTTTTAAAAATAAGGGTGAGAGCCAACTGTCATCTGAGGGGAAAGGAAGCCTACCATCTGAGAAATAAGCCCCGAGCTCTCACAAGAAATTGCTAAGCTCTCTAAGAAAGCACTATCTGTCTGAAAAAGGTACCATGGCATTTTAGCTGAAAGTCCTCACTGAAGGAATTACAGAGAAAATCATCCCTGACAGCAGAATCAGCGGAAGAAAGGTGTTTGTGGCAAAACGGAGAAGGCAGAGTGTTCCAGAAGACACAGTCTATGTGAATTTGGAGAGATTAAGCTTTAATTTATTGTTGGCTTTTACTTGGATTTATATAAATGGGACTTGTGTTTGTTTGAACTGCATTCCAGTAGAATTTAGGCCAGTTAGGGAGTAGTTAGTAGTTTAGGGGGGAATTGTTCAGTTTGTTAGTAATCCTGTTAATTTGTTCTTTGTTAGGGCCAAATAAATTAATTGTTACTTGTAACTTATAAAGTGGAGATCAGTAATTTTCTTTCTTTTAACTACACTTTTAACAGATTACGAGTGGTGAGATGAGCTTCTCTGTGTGTTTCAGATTTAATTATGAGAAGGGAACCTTTACTCTCATCATAAAAAAACGGGCTTGTACTTTAGTTTAATTATCAGAGGAGTTCGAATTTTCCCTTCTCCGTAACAGTTTGGTGGCTCAGGTCTGTGGCCTGGCCAGTTCGTGTATGGGATCCAAATGGGTCTGAATGGATTTGACAGATTTAAACAGACTTGGGGATTAGTGTCCTAGATTATTAAATAGAATTTATTGAGAACAATATGTTTAATTTCGGTTACTTGTGGTTGGCTAAACTAAAAGTGAGGCAAATGGCTCTGAACATTGCAGAAGAGATTCTGGAGTTTGTCAAGAGAGTTTAGAAAAACAGAGGAAGTTTATACTTTTGGAATTAGCAAACAGGCTAGAATTGTGTTCAACTGTGATAAAAGGAAAGCTGAAATTGTAATGGAGTTGGTCATGCACCTAGGTATATCAGAGAAACAGGCAAGTGCAGCGGAGTTAGAAAAAAATAAATTGCAAAGGAGACAACTGGAGTTATAGAATGAAAGGAAAGAGAGAGAGTTTGAATTACGGTGGAAAGCAGAAGACAAAGAAAGGGAAAAAAGACCCATGTTCGAAGACAAAGAATGATAGAGAAGGTTCTTAGCTGAGCAAAAAGAAAGAGAGAGAGAGTTTGAACTTCAGAAGTTGCAAGTTAAACACAAAACTCATCTTAAAAGGATGGAGATGAAGGTAGAAGATAGGCTTAGTGAGGAGGAGAGTGATGATGAGCAAACCCATCGTAGCCAAAGACATGTTAGAGATATATACAAATATGCCAAAACATTGCCAAAATTTGATGAAAAAGATGTACAAGCCTTTTTCATTTTCTTTGAGAAACTGGCTAGGCAGATGAATTGACCAGAGACTGTGTGGGTAATGTTACTTCAGACCAAGTTGGTAGGCAGGGCTAGTGAGGTGTTTGCAGCACTGTCAGAGGAGGTGTCAAGAGATTATGAATAAGTAAAACAAGCTATTTTGAGTGTCAGCAAATTGGTACCAGAAGCATATAGACAATGGCTCAGAAGTATAAGGAAGGAACCAGGTCAGACTTATATCGAGTTTGAAAGAATTAAACAGAGCAACTTTAATTGATGGATAAGAGCATTAAAGATAGAAAAGACATATGAGGATCTTAGATTATTCTGCTGGAGGAGTTTAAAAACTCACTTCCAGAGATGATAAGTACTCATATTGAGGAACAGCATGTTCAAACAGAGAGAAGAGGTTCAGAGATGGTGGATGAATACGTATTAGTGCTTAAATCAGAATGTAGCTTCCAACAACAATTTCATTCAATGAAGGACAGAAATTGGAAAAAGGAGATCCTTCAATGACAAGCAAAAAGTAGATCACACTGGGAACAGTTTACCACAGGTGAGAAAAGAAACCCAAGAGGGTGAAAAAGAAGTGTTTTCACTGAATTGGAGTGGGACACATAAAGTCACAGTGCTGGTCGTTTAAGAAAGGCACTGGGAAAAGGTGTTTTCACTGCCATAAGGTGGGGCACACAAATTCACTGTGCTAGTAGTTTAAGAAAGGCACTGAGAAAAAGGATGTGGTAAAAGATGCTAAACCAGTGGGATTAGTTGAGGTAATGAAGGAAATCCCAAAAGAAGTCG